CTAGGCTGCGAACCGATTCGGACTTCGCTTTTGATGCTAAGATCTGGACTTTCAAATGACAGAATTAAATCTTAGACTTATGAATATTTTAGGTCTACATCTTAGCTTTGTATTCATATAAACCAAACTAAAATCTAAGATCTATAGCTCCAGATATGATCCAATGACGAAACAGTGTTCCAGTTTGGACTTAACCAGTATCTCTTTTCTAAGCTTAGCCTTTTCTGTATTTTTTTAATTTTAGTAGTTAAACTCATCAATCAATCTTTTCATTTATGTGATAGGTCTGCATTTAAGATGATCATTTACTGTAAATTAAAGGTGCCTTATATTTATTAGATATGTTATTATAAAGCATGCTCTAGTTAAAGAGTTATTGATACTTCAAGTGCAAAATTATGATATAAAACCTTGATAAAAATACACTTTAAGTATTAATCATTGTTTCTAGTTAAGACAGGTTTGTTGGCTGAAAGATGATTGTCTTAATAGTGGCCCTTTGGTGTTACTACAACTAGTGCAGCCTCTGCAGAGAAGAGAAAGATGTTGCTAGAGGAGCAACCTATGGCCGAAATGAAAATTCCTTCTGTTGCTGCTAGCTTGCGTACTCAAAGTAGTTAAGGAATTGTAATGACTAATGATGACCGCATACCTTTGCTGCTTCTCGCTCTCGGTACAAAGAAGAAAACATAGCTAATACTCGTGATGGGAGACAACTAGGATCAGCTGAAGGTGTGGAGACAAGAATGGTCACACTATTGAATTGCAGTTGTGACTAGTACCTGCTCTTGGTGGTTAAGGGGTTGTAAGTCAACGATGTTTATCATAACTGAAGACGACATCATTGTTAAAGTTGGAGACAATTGTGTAATTGTGCAGGATTTGGATAAGAACTATTTGTTTGGAATGTGAAGCAAAGCTCCTGATACTGCTTGTGGCTCACGGTTTTGGTTGGTCTTAAAATACGTTACTAGACCATGAGGGAGAATCTAGTGGTGATAGAAAGAATCTAGTGGTGATAGAAAGACGCCAAAAGAAGGAAGAAGAGGATGAGGCTAGATGAGACTTTGGTTTTTTGAATGTCATCAGGCAAAACTTAGAGAAAGGCGACTGAGGGAGGGAAGGTCTCGTGAGGCTAAGAGACGGAGCTGTAACAAGAGAAAGGAGTATGTGGTGGTTGTTTTGTGGCTAAGAGAGAGAGAGCAACGATTAAACCAAAGAAGGAGCCAATTCCAGTGAGGGAAAAGGTTTGTGTTGATGAAAGGGAGAGGGGACGGTGTCTTTAGAGAGAAATCTTTATTTTCTTTTTTAAAAGGAGGGAACAAGAAAAGGAGCACGCATATTTAACATCAACAATAATCCAAACTCAAAATCAGTGAAGGAATAATGGGAAAGCATAACACCTTTTGTTCAAACAGAAACCAAAAATATAGAGCAAAAAAAGAGACAGGTTTTGGGATAGAGCAAACCAATGGTGCCAACTTTGAATATAACAAAGACGACGAAGCTAGAAAATATACTTGCAATCTTACTCTCTGTTTTCTTTTGTGCTTTTGTCCTCTCTTTTATTTCTCCATTCTCTCCTCTATTTTTCTTTCTCCCTCTCTGTCTCCTGCCTCTCTTTCTCTGCCTTGTATTGCTTGCCTCTTTCTAATTTTCTTCTCTTCTCTTTTTTTTTTTTGTTCAGTGAAGGCTTTCATAGTCGAAAAGGTCAAAGAAAAACTCTCCTCTTTTATATGGTTGGAGGTTCACTTATATAGAAATCTTTACACGTGCTATTCAAGAAAATATTACAATAATTATTACAGAGATTGTCTTTTATAACTAGTACCAATAATTCCTATATCTATGGTCTTTTATATTGCAATAATTATTTTTCATAACCAATACTAATCAAATCATATATCTATGGTATTTTATATTGTAATAATTATATATTATTCGGTAATTATCTCCCTGACATATTGATTTTTTAATATTAGCCTTCATGCTTTATGTTATCACCACATGTTCTCTCTCTTTCTCTTCTCTTTTTAAAGTTTATCAAAATATGGTTCAAAAATTAAGTAGCAATAACTATCACATGTTGAGAATACATATTAGGATACTTTTGTCTAATATTGAAAATGTTTAAAGTAAAATTGATATAATCAAATGGTTTAAAACTTAAATGATAATAAAGTCCTACATTTGAGGTAAATTTGAGGTCTTTTTTTCATTAAATTCGCTCCCATGAAGGTTTTCAATCGATAATAATTAGTATATACTAGTTATTTTACTTGAAGTGAAAATTTTATTTTTCAGGAAAAAAATAATATACAAGCTTTTCCAATATATTTTTGGAAATAAAAAATATAAAATTTAATGCATGCATCTAATTAAATAAATCAAGAATTACATATGTCAATAAATAAATAAAAATTTGTTAATGATAAATAAAGACTAAACTGGAAAAATTAAAAGAAAGATATAGATTAAAATATTTGATCTCTTAACATAGATCATGTATCCAGTTATGTTTAATAATTTTATTTCTTAAAATAATATTTTATTTAATCAAATGATTATTCATGCCAATAAAAATATAAAAAAATTCATTAATAATAACAAAAGACTGAACTAGAAAAGTAAAGAGATATAGATTAAGATATTTGATCTCGCAACACTAGTCATGTACCTAGTTGTATATAATAATTTTGTTGCTTAGAATAAATTTTATATTTAATCAAATAATAAGATAATTTTCCTTCCTATGTCACATGTTGCTACTTAATTTTTGACCCATATTTTTATAAATTTTAAAAAGAGAGAGAGAGAGAAAGAAAGAACATATGGCGATAACATACAACATCAGGGATAATATTAATAAAGAAATATATTTAGGAGATAATTACTAAATCATATATAATTACTGCAATATAAAATATCATAGATATAGGATTTGATTCGTGCTAGTTATGAAAAATAATTACTATAATATAAAATACCATATATATAGGATTTGTTAGTGTTAATTATAGAAAATAATCTCTGCAATAATTATTGTAATATTTTCTTGAATAGCATGTGTAGAGATTTTCTATATAACTGAATCTCTAGCCATATTACAAAAGGGGGAGGAGCAATTTTAAGACAAAAAAATTAGGGATAACCACAAAACCCTAAACATATCCTTTTTAAGCTAGTCGGCTACCCACTTTCCTAGGGCCAAAAAGAAGTCGCCACTGACTTCCCCTCTTAACCGTTCCACCATCGCCCTCTCTCCTCTAAAATGCAATAACCCCCTTCTCTGTTAGTCCCCCATCTCCATTCTTCCTTTGCAAAACCAGAGAACCCCGTTAAAGCCATAACCCATTTCTCCTTTTACCCATAACCAACCACCTTCCCCGATTTCCTCATCTCACTTTTCTCGACAGCTCACTCATTTTTATTTCCTTCTGACAAGAATAAGAGAGAGAGAGAGATAGCACCCAAAAGCAGTCCCCCTTTTAGCCATTCTCCTCTCTCAGCCATTTCTTATCCTACACCCAAAACAACCCTTTCTTTCAACATAGCTCCAGACAGGCCTCCACCAAGCCCCACAACAGCAGCAACCATCTTTTCTCAATAAAGACAAGGCGAATGACACGACGAAAAGATTAGTGTCTTCTCCCAAGTGCAGGAGTGTCGAAGTAATAAATAACCCGGCAAGACCGGGGTCGAGCCACAGGG